CACAACACACACAGCAACGTGACATGGAGAAGTCAGGAAAAGGCTGCAGCTTTGTTTCAGCCCCATCTTTGAACCAGAGATGAGGAGGGAACAGAAATCAAGTCCTCACACTCTTCTGCTGTTTCAGCGTGGGGTCCCTCCCACGGCACAGTCCTCCACCAACTTCCCCAATATGAGTCCTTCCCACAGGCTACAAACTGCCCCAGCGTGGGTCCCTTCCATGGGGTGCAGTCCTCAGGAACCGGCTGCTCCAGTGTGGGTCCCCTGTAGGGTCACAAGTCCTGCAGCAAATCTGCTCCAGTGTGGACTCCTCTCTGTGGGGCCACAGGTCCTGCCAGGAGCCTTCTCTTGGGGTCACAGCCTTCTTTGGGCATCCCCCTGATCTAGTGTGGGGTCCTCCATGGGCTGTAAGGGGCACAGACTGTCTCACCATGGTCTGCACCACAGGCTGCAGGGGAACCACTGCTCCAGCACCTGGATCACCTCCTCCCCTCCTTCTGCACTGACCTTGGGGTCTGCAGAGCTGTTTCTCTCACACATTCTCTCTCCTCTCTGGCTGCAATTGCTCCTGTGCAGCAACTTTTCCCCTTCTCAAACATGGCATCCCAGAGGCCCTGCCACCATCACTGATGGGCTTGGCCATGGCTGGCAGTGAGTCCATCTTGGAGCCCACTAGCATTGGCTCCACTGGACATGGGGGAAGCTCCCAGCACCTTCTCACAGAAGCCACCCCTGTAGCCCCCCTGCTACCAAACATGCAAATCCAGTAGAGACATAAGCATCCTGATGATAAACCTGGTTGTTTGACATGCTCTTAAGTATTGGTGATTTACTTAATCAGGTCTCAGGAAGAAGCAAATTAAAGCCCTGGCTATTAGAAACAATGACTGCTTCCTAATAGGGATAGTAATTTTGCCTGCACTGGCTGAATCTATTCCTTCTCTCTCTCTCTGCCCTCTGGTTTTATATTGTAGTCACACTCTCACGTGTACTCTCACTTTGTCTCTCTAAGGTCTTTTTAACTAAATTAATACTATTGCCAACTGATGCTTTGATGCTGCCAAGCAAACCAAACGACCCTGGCCATTAGAGTCTCACAGCTATCCATGCCCAGATTAGAAACTTCAGCGTTTATTACACTAAAAAAAACCCAAAAAAAAACTAAAATATCCCCAAATTTGGGGAATTATTCTAAGTTTTATTTTATTTTCTTCTAATAAACGTATAAATCAAAAGCAGAACTGCAGGGGAAGCTGCTAAATGCTTTGTTATTGACAAAAGCACTCCTTGAATATTTTGCTAATGGCTCAGACTTGATTAATATAAGAAAAAAGAGCCTATTGATTTTGCTTTAAAACAACATTTAAAAAGTGCTCAACATGCTGGCAGCAGAAATATGTGGTGAAGTGCACAGAAAAACTGCCATTTAAATAAGGATGAAAGTGAGACAGGCAGGCAGAGCCATTAGAAGGAGACAGATGATGAAGCCCTTGTCAATCTCAGTGAACCAGCACTGGAGGCAGCCAGCCAGGCTATGGCAGCATACTTTGATGGACTAAAGATGGCAAGTCCAAATTCAACTAGACAACATTGAGCTCAAAAAGCAGGACATGCTTTCTTTCCTACCAGTACTTTGCCCATGAACAACACTCATTAAAAGCATGCATCACAGATATCTTTTAAACAGTAAACTGCAGACATGCAGACATGTCCAGAGTGCCATAAAATTCCTATGAACTACTGTTTGTGCCAGCTGGGCACTAACTCTTCTACTAATCTCAGAAATACTTTATACTTTTCCTGTATCTCTAAATAGCCCTTGAGATACCATGACTGCCACTATTCAGGAGCCAGGATCACGGGATATTTTGTTCTCTGTGGCTAGAGCACGATTCTGAACTCTGATATCTCAGGGACACACGTGTTTATAAGAATAAAGAAGTTGCAATGAGTGTTGCCCTAGGTTCCCATGGGAACACATTTACTTCCAGACCTGGATAGTTTCAAGGTACCAGATTAAACACATATTAAAACATGTCTAAAAAAGCTATTACTAGATTTTCCAGTGGCTTCCTGGTTACTACTTATTGGGACTAATGGCTCAAGAGGCAGAGACCCATTAAAGTGCAGGGGTACAGAGGAAAGAGCATGCAAGTGAGGCCAAGCACCTAGGAAAGACACTGGGCAGCAGCCAAAGGAGTCTGACATGTTTGAAAATTCAGTTCAACTGCTCAGGGCTGGAAGGGGGCTGACACCCATCAATGGGTGTAAAACAAGCTGTTACTGTGTGATTTGTTCATGACTTTAACTGTGTTTTCTAAGGACACCTGTCTGCTGTCTGCCATAGTTTTGTGCTACCCAGCCATCTACAAGTACAACCAAACATACTTGCCGCCCAGCTTGTAAGTGAAATAACTTGTGTAGTTCTATATGAGCTATGTGGGGGAAAGTCTGTCATTAATTGGAGATAAAGGAGTTCTGCCTTTACTTCTGAAGAACCTAGCCCTGGGGAAGATGAGAGGAACCCAGAACAAAAAGTCAACCTAGAGCTGGTAAAAGCCTCCTGACTTGCTACACAGGAATGAAAGCCTTGGGGAAGTCACATTCATAAATTGAAAGGTATCTCCAGGCTTTAGAAACACTATCTACACACTATATGCAGATGCCTGAACATGTACAACCGAATTCTTTCTCTCCCTATGCTTTCCATGTGGATTAGGAGTTGCAGCCCAAATGAGAACTTGCTGATATGATAAGGATGGTTTCTTTTAATTGTGCCTTCATTTCTCCCAAGTGACTACACTATGGAAGACATCCTGTCTTCTCAGGATCACGGATCTGTTAGCAGTAATTATAACAGGCCAGTTGCAAGCTAACCTAAAAGCTGATAAAAATATCATTCTCCGTTCGAAACAAAAATATCAGAGGGTCTTACATGGGGTAACAAGAAAACCATGGTGAGCATTAAACAAACAGCTGAGATAAAAATGTGCTAGACGCTTATAACACTGTATACAAATGTACCCTATTAATAGAAAGATTTCCCAATTGCACTAATTTTTAAAGAAACCCCTGTAGATAAAACAGACTAACAGAATTACATCTATTTTTTAAAAAAGCAGAAAGATAAAGAAAAATATATAAAATGAGGGCTTAATCTAGAAAACCTCTGGGATAATGTACATTAGTCTTGGAAAAATACAGATTTAGACAATAAGAGACGCTGTATTTCAATCAAAGTCTTTGATCATTCAGGATAAGCATACTGGAAAATGAAATTTTCCGCTTTATTTGATTTCCTTAGGAAATAAGCTCTTTCTTCTCTGTTTCTATCCAAAGGACAAAAAAGAACAAACCCTCCCACCCTGAAAAGAAACAGCTGAAATCTCCCACTGTGCTCCTACAGAACACAATGCTTTTCTCCCATTTCTGAAATCAAAATTTCTTATAATGGTTACTTCATCTACATTGTTCCTTAAATATATTGCTGCCACTGTGCTCTAACATTTCAATTTGCTCGTGATATTTTCAACATTTCCCTTAAATTTTTTATAGTAATACACAAAAGAAAGAAAATGCCTGTTTACTGAACAATGAAGCATAAACTCTTCCTCTAAATAAAAGCTTCATTAATCTTGCATAGACTTCCGTTTCTTGTTATATGAAAAACAAAAAAGCCCCTATAGATGTCTGGAAAGGTACCCTGCAATAAGAAACTTCAGGATATTTATTTCGTATCTTAGATTTAAAGCAAGGTTGGAACTCGATCATTTCACACAATACCTTTTTGTAAGGTACAGACAGAGACATAAAATGCAGCATGTGGAGATTTAAGTCAAGTTAGGAATAAAATACACCTTCTTTTAAGCAACAGAAGTAATCAGCTATCAAGATACCTTACAATAGAAATTAGCAAGTCCGTTAACAGTCATTAAATCAAATGTTCGTGTCTCTCTCTAACAGATACACCCTAATCTAAGCACAAACTCTTGGCTTTACAGCATTCAGCTACTCTGAGCCAAGTTCCTGTACTCTAAAACCAAACCCTAAGGTGTAGCAGTTGTTCAAAGCCACAGCAGGACACTTGGCCTGCAGCAGCACATAACTGTAACAGCAGCCAGTCCACTGCTCTTCAGTGATGCTTCAGAGACAACTTCAAAAGCAGGAGTTTCTCCCAAGTATCACTCACATGGTTAAACCATTCCTTGTGTTCCCCATTATGACAAAACAGACCAGCTACTAACTTGTATGGGGATACATAGTGAAATCCTTCTATGATAGTCCGTTACACACACGGAAACAAACTAGAGTGCTTTTTTAGCATTCTCAAACCACTGTGTTTTAGACATTTTGAAAATCAAGGGAAGCAGTTCAATTAAATTCCATTGACTATGTGAACTGTGGAACAGGCCCTCACTGCCACAGTGAATTAAAACAGCTTCAGCGAGGATCCTTGATGGTTTATCATTCTTGTCTTACAACTAGTACAGGTTGTACTGTACAATAACAGTCAAAGCCCAGAAGCACATCAACCTTCTGCCCAATCCACAGCAGACAGCTCAAGCAATTCACAGATGGCAAAAGTTAATTCCCTTAGCCCTATGAACAGCATAACAGTTCACTGTACTTTAAATTATGGATGGTGAACTGGGATGTTGTACCAGAATAAGACACGTACACCTGTAACGGTGACCACGCTCTTCAGAACACTTGTTATCAAACAGTTATCTTCAGGGATTCTTTATATTTGATACTATTCACTGACAGTTGAGGCAATGTAAAATATTACCATCTAATGCAGTCTGGATAACATTTGACTGAAAGAACAATCTGCATAGGAAAAACTACAGTAAAATGGACAGATCCTGAAATGGATTTCAAGAAAGCAAATTGCTACGCCACATTCTTGTACCTTCAGGCTCTCACAGTCTTGTCACCATGGTATTTCAGGATTTGATTACCAGCTGTAAAGAAAAAAAGATGATTTTTTGGGGAGCTCATTTATCAAACCTTAACGTTTATATTTTTATTGAGGAATTAGCAACAACGGGTGTATTTCACCCTACAAGCTCTTTAAAACTTTATGAAGATTTGACATCAGTGGCAGATCCATTTACAGAGTGCAAGAAGGAAAATAAACAGATGAAGAAACAGCAAGAACTGGATATTTTCAATGCATGTTCTCAACCCAGAAAACAAAAAGAACCATTTTTCTTGCACTGCTGTTTGTCACCCTTCCAGTACAGACTTGCAGATATACACAGGAGGCAAGACAAATCCCAATCCAATCTTAGAATGTCTCAATCATTCAGTCTTTTTCCTTGACCTAACTTATCACTTATCCTCACAGCTCACAGCAGTTTCACCAGGATGCTCTGTCTTCAATTTTTTATGAGATGGCTCTCCTGGGAGAAGAGATGTGCAGTGCTCTAAGGATCGTGCAATTTCATCAATTGTCCATTTATCTTCATGAAGTGCATGCTCCTCCAGCGTAAATGGCCCATGTTTGGTTCGGGTCAGCTCTTGCATAGTGGCACAGGTAGAGAGCTCTACAGTAAAGGGGAAAAAAGGATTTAGGAGTTCATGGTTCAAGTTTAACTACCTGCAACTCAGTTAAAACATACTTTTAACATGCAGCCTTCTAAGTTATTCTGCTTTGTTTGAGAAGGAAGTTCATGAAGATTTAGCTCTTCTTTGCATCTCCTTAAATTTGAGCCAAGAAATTACTTTGATTTACATAGATCTCCAGTGTAGCAGAGTTCAAAATCTTACAGAAAGTTCTCAAAAGGTTTTCCAGATTTAAGTCAGAATGAAAAGAGATGAAATAATTATGTAAGCAGAACATTCTGTATTCACAAGTGACTTGGAAGACCATGTACTCTCTTTCCACAGCATTTGAGACTTTAGCACTTCTTGCCTTCAAGAAGGATTTTTGATGTTTTCATCCAGTTTTGCCTACCAGGGTAACATAAACTAAGATAAAGAAAAATAAAATATATAAACAAATGCTCTGCTATGCAAAATAAATACCAGGAGGACACAATTACATAATGAGGAGCTAACAAAATGTAACAGCAACCAGAGTTGACTTGCAAGTGCATAGGTACACTAAAACATTCTCTCCCACCCTTCCTGATGCAGGAAGATTTATACTGCTTTTTAAATGTTTGAAAAGAAATCATCTGAGAACAGACTTTATCTTGGTTTGTCATTAAAAAACTGAACATAAGCCAGTATGCTCAAAAAGCAATAACAGAATCTTTGACTTGCCTAAGCACAAACAACAACATTGAAATTCAAAGGGTTATCCCACATCACTTGCATTCTGATCTGCAAATGTATCATCAAAAAAAAAGTGCCTGAAATGGATTATCTGTTCTCCATCATGCAGTTTGATAGATATAGAGCACAAGACAAATAATCCTGTGGGAAAGCAAAACCCTTCACAGTCCAGGTAAAGGAGAAAGAAAACACTAGAAAAATCACCCCAAATGTAGAGTCTTTCCAGCAGACAGGGTTTATTATGTGCATGGTAATGTTCTGTGCAATCTGTTTTCAAAATGTGATGAATAATGTTTAAAAAGACAGTATCTTTCTTCTTCTGATCCTTAATCTGAGTTAGCTTTAACATATGGAGGAGGAAAAGAAAAGATCCCCACCCTGCCTTGTATTATCTTGCTCAGTGCTACTGCATGCTCCATTTTTATCTCACAGCCCCCAGTGTCCTCTGGCAATTACTTAGCTTTCATTCCCAAGGAAAATACCTGTGTATATAAAAACAAGTGATAGAACTACAATGCACAGGTATAGTTACTGAGATAGACAAAATGACAAAATGCTTTCATAAACAGACACATTCATTCCTTAAATGTTCCCTTCATGGGGTTTTTTCATGCCTACCTTTGCCAATGTCACTGACCAGGCTCCTGACATAAAAGCCACCGCCACATTCAACATCTGGAATGTTAACAGTGACCTGGTAAATTGCCAGTGCAATGTGAAATCTACTTTACATAGAAACCATGCCCCCACATAAATGTAAAAATGCACTAAGCAAACAACCCAGTGATAAAATATTTATAGGATGCAACATCAATTATTCATCCTGTAACATATGTGTGGGTGAGATTGCTAAGCTAGACAGGAGGGAAAGCAAATACAATGGCAACTAAACTACCTCACTAGAAATTAAGTACTTGCTGTGGTATGTTAACAAATGCTTCACTTTTCTTTATTTTAAAGAGTTCTGAAGGTTGATTCATATTTCTAATGGTGAAATCAAGTTATTTCAAGCACAGACTAAACTATCAGTTCTTTTAAGATACTGCACACAGGCAGCTCCAATAAAATTTTAAATTCACCTTTAACTTTCCCTTCTCTCTCAGCCTTTCCCTTCTCCCTGTCAGAGATCAGCTGCTAGCCACCCAACCATAAAGCAAGGGCTGAAGTAACATAGCACTGAGTGCTGTCACTCATACCTGCTCATCATATAACAGCTGGTCCATCTAAGGATGAACCAGGCCGGTGATCAGAGCGAGACATTATCTTGACCTTACAGCAGCATCAAACATTTACAACAGTCTTTTGGGTTTATTTATTAATGTGCTTCTTAATGTACTACCCAAATTTCTTCATGTATGACGGAAGGATAAGATCCTGCCTCTTCAACCAAGAAAGAGGCCTGGCAGTAACTGATACTGGTCATTGCTGTGCCCTGGGAGAGATGCCAGCAGGTCTGGGCATCTAAGTGAAAGAATGGGCAAACTGAATTAAGCAGACCTGAGAAAGAAGGCATGAGCTGGAGGTTGCAAAATCATGGACAGATGCAAATGATCCCTGACCAGCCTCTCAGAATTTTCCTCACAGAAAGATTACGTATAATCAGCTTAACTTAAACCCAAAACACGATGCTTTTGCTGGAAAGTGAAAGGCTCTGCACATGGGCTCACACCAAATTAAACAGCTGAGCAAAATGAAACCCATTTCACTCTTTCAGTCCCTTTCTGAGTGTAAATAAACACTAACAAGTTGGGGGCATCAGTCTATGTAATAATCTTTGGCCTTTACCCAGTGTGAACAGTGGTGGATGGAACCGTTGGAGAGACAGGCTGTACACTCTTACTGGCCGAGCAGGCTTTGCTTCGACTGCTTCTCCTCTCTTCATCAGAGTCGACAGCCTTTCTCCATCCTTCTTCAAAGCAGAATAGCTGATCAGATAGAGCACGAAAATGTGTCATATGGTTGTAACAGAACAAACTTCCCATTCTCCAGATCCTGTTAATATTCTACTACAGTAGCACACACCCTTCTAATCCTCTCCCAAGTGCCCACAAAAAAACCTAGCAAATGCTTCTGAAATCTCTCGGACACAGAATCATCCCATTTGCAGTAGCTACATAAACTATAAAACAAGAGACACTCCTGCATTTACCTCTTGGTGTGCAGACTTAAGAAATGCTTCATCACTCAACTTCTAGTTTATGAAAACAAAGAGTATCTAGAAGGGGTACAACTCTTGCAACTGTCTCTAACATGCTGTCTATCAGAAGTCTGGAGGGTGTACTCCACTTCAGTGCTTATGCTGAGCTGAGCACAAGGAACTGCTTAGACAACTCCTATAATTCTTCCTTGCACCTTTGCTCATTTCACAACATCTTCACAGCAGCAGCTCCCAAGTTATGTAGCCTTGCTCTAAGGTGTTTAGGGGATCACCATAGCACAACAAAAACAAAATCCACTGATTACATGAAACTTTATCCCAAGATCCAACTTTGGTCTTGACAGAAAGATGACCATAAAAAAAAAAAAAAAAATCACAAAGATCTTGCTCAAATTAGTGGAGGATAATGAAGCAGAACACCTACTGAATTACAGACCTTTCAGGGCTCACACTGGAACCACAGTAACTGACCCATTGCAAATGCAAAGGAAAGCACGTTAGTTTAAATCACCATAAAAGCCATCTGTCACAAGCTGAGCGCTTGCACACTGCCAGCTACTATGGCTCACCTGACTAGAAGAAATTTGCTAAGCTACTGAAGCTCAGTCACTAATCACTCATTCAGAAAACTAATTCAAAGTCATTTAAGGCACTTCCACACAGATGCATGCCCTTACCCACAACTAACATTTAGCACTTGGAGCTTTGCTTCCTAACTGGAAGACACAATAGAAGCCACCAAGCCCTGCAAAGCTGTTTAAGACTTTATTACTTTACAGTTACCCAAAAAAGCCATAGGCTCCAGGTCACCATTTGTGCTCAATGTTCAAATGGGCATGACCTGTAGCTGCAAACTTCAAAACTCCTAAAACTCCCCTGCCTCTATCCTCCTGCCAAGACGTCTTTATATTGTTAAGAGAACTGACTTGTGTTGGCAAGTCCCAACAGCTGAACACAACTGCCAAGTGTGTCTTAATATTGCGGAACTTACAGCGGAGGAACCTGCATTATGTCCCCTGTGAACTTCTGCAGCACATTTTCAAGATCTCCTTTTGTTATCTGGTCTGTAGAAAGAAGACAGTAAGAATGTTAGCACTGATCATTCATATGGCGTTAACGGCATCAGTCATGTTCTGCAAACAGTTACAAAGAAGAGTTCATCTCATCTGAATTTACACTGGGTGAAAAACACCAAAGAAAAGAGCTAAAAACCAGAATGTAGGTAGGAGTGTGAATTATCACAAAGAGTGGAACAAATTGTCCAAGGGGATTAAGACAGCCTGGACACATTCAGAAGGGCGTAAATATCACTATACACCATTTTCTTTCGCAATTTCTGTCTCTTGGGCCTGCAAATTCATTTTTCTTGGGACCTATACAAAAAATACAAAATCTGCCCAATTCTGATTTTCATTAAAGGACAGAAAAGAATAAATCACTCATCTAACCATGGCAAGTTCTCTTTACAAGTATCTAATTGCAGTGAAAAATATAATGGATTATTAGAGAACAAAAGCATTGTGGGGGTATTTGCTAGTGAAGAAGAAGACTGCACTGGAACAACACATCAAATTTCTGTATCAAACAACTAACCTGCAACTGCACACCATGGTATTGTTATATATAAAGGCAATTTTACTGAAGAAATCCTGCAAAAGAAAGATAGCTGCTTTAGGCAATCTACTCTCTTTTAAGAGCACACATATACAACTATCCCACTTTTATTATATAACCTATGTAGGTGATTGCATTGGTCCTTTGAAATGCTATTCAATAGATATGATGTTCATACCTAATTTGTTTACAGAGTACAAATGTAAGATCTGTAATCATAATGCAATTCTGTGGATTTCTACTCTCTAGGACTTGACTAGTCCTGTTAGTCACAAGTTAAATTCAAATAGTGTCACCTTACTAGGCCAAGAGCATCCTGGAACAAAAACCAACCAAATTTATTGAGTCTTCATTGTTTGGGAAAAGACTTGCAAACCTTATAAAACAGACATACTTCATGCTGTAAGTAAAAAAGAAGAGGTTTCTTCCCACAACAGCACTGGAAGATGGCAATGTGGTACCTCACTTTTGCAAAGCACACTTCACAGTGTCAGGAGCAGATGCTGTGCCTAAGCCTCAGCTGCTGACTCAAGAAGTGTCATTAACAGCAAGGTTGTAGGCACGAAAATCAGTTGTGCATGCTGGTAGATACCAATGCACATCAGAATATGAGGTAAGAACAACAAAATCAGTTCTATAGCAAGCCTGGATCTTCTTCTGAAGAGCTTCTTACATGGTTATTTCAATCTTCTGATTGTATTATTCTAGTTTAGCAACACATCGCAACAAAACTACATGGCAAAAAGTTAGCATGACCCAGCTCTATGCAGGGATCCCGTCAGCCTCCTTGTGAGCCCCAGGTTGCTTCAGGCTAGGATTTAGTATTTAAGATCTAAGCATAAGTGTCACTTGGAGTTCTCTTTCAGTTTTCACCCCATGAACTGCATTTGTGGCTAGGGCATTTTACAAGATATCCGAGTTCAGTTCCTGCTCTGATCTCATATTCCCGTGCTTGAGGGGTTACATCAAGCCTCTGAGGTAATCACTCATGCTATAGGCAAGCTCTATCTCAGGAAAAAAACCCAAAGCACCATGTAAGGAATGATGGATTAAGCCATTAACAAACAAAGTGGTGTGGTGTCTTACCAAAATAAATATTTACAGATGAGTTTGCTAAGATCTAGAATAAATCATATTTGTGTTCCACAATACACTGTGGCGCAAGCTGGCCAGTATTACATTCTGAAAACCTAAAACCATGTGCTCTGCTCTTTGTTTTTTTTATCATGCACTGCCTTTCTGTTAATGGACTGTATTGGATTCTTGCCCTCTCCTAGAATAACACCCAAGCTGGTGGAGCTTTCATCCAGCTCTCAGTCCTAAAGAATGCTCCATTAGTCTTGTCATGGTTTCACTATGTCTAAACTGTGTATCTATCCCAGGCATCAGTTTGGACTCATGAGCCAGCAACTAAGTACTCACACACACCAGACACATCCTGGTGGGATGGTGAGAACTGGAAAAAAGGTAAAACCCGTGGGTTGAGATAAGAACAGTTTAGTAACTGATATAAAGTTAGATATGATAACAACACATGGAAGTCAAGAGAACGAGAGGAATAAAACCCAAGACAGACAAGTGATGCACAATAAAATTGCTCAAGAGAGGGACTTTTTACACAGGACAAGGGGGAATGGCTTTAAACTGACAGAGAGGAGATTTATATCAGACACTAGGAAGTTCTTCCCTCTGAGGGTGATGAGACACTGGTACAGGGTGCCTGGAGAAGCTGTGGCTGCCCTGTCCCTGGCAGTGCTCAAGGCCAGGTTGGACGGGCTTGGGGCAAGCTGCTCTAGTGGAAGGTGGCTCTGAATGTAGCAGGGGGTTGCAACTGGATGAGCTTTAAAGAGCTTTCCAAACCAAACCACTCTCTGTTTCTGCTTGAGAATGTAGCAATGTGCTTCTGTGCACATCTGCTAGGGAATGTAAATCTGGCAGTGCCAGCAACATCCAGGATTGGGCCTCAGTGCAGAGAAAAGGACTAAAACAGCTTGCAAGATACATAAAACTTTTCTTGAATTATTCCAGTGGATCACAAAAGGAAAGTGCCTGCAGAAAGTTGCCTGCTATATTAACTATAGAAAAGAGTCACATTTTAGTCCTCAGAGTGTCCCTAGACAGCAGTTTAGAAAGAAATCTGTTGTTTATTACAGCTAGTCGCAATGAAGGGATGTACTGAAGAGAGCTCCTTGGGTTTAATCCCTTCTGAACTTCCTCTCACTTGCCTCGTGCAAAAAGACAAACTGCGTAAGAAAAGGGTTTGGGTGTCAGAGGTGGAATCCAGGCCACCTTTTCCATCATGCTATTAAAAAAAAAAGGCTAATTTACTTCATGTACCTATTACCAGCTACCACAAACAATGTGGGACCTAGTGAGTTGCTAAGCAACCAGTTACTTTTTTCCCCTTTTTTCCCCAGGTTGTGAAGGAATTAATGGTAAATACATTTGGTGGGTCCCTGGTTAGTTCTGTGTTGTCTCTAAGATGCCCTGAGTATTGTAGAATTGTCCACACCACCAAAGCCACAGTCAGGATTAGCTGTGAGGCCTTAAACTCTTGCACTGTGCTTTGCTGGTCAGAAAAGTTCACCTCTTGAAGTTGCTAGGACACAGACTGCAAGCAAGAGCAAGATTTGGTGAGTGTACATATACAGAGAGTAGTTTACGCCATCCTCATTTTACCTTGAGCAGTCTGTAGATAAAGGGGCAGCCTAGAGGGAAGATCTAAGTACTTTATTCCCCCACTGGCCTTGAATGGCATTACTAAAAGAGGACTACACACTGAAAAAGGAAAATTTTACTGGACACAGCATGCCATTTGTCAGCCTGTCACAGATTTCAAATGACACAGTCCTGCCCAATTCTATTTTCTCCCTCCTAATCTAATGCCTGGTTTGTTTCTTTCCAGAAGAAATGAACACTTGCACTGGACATAATTGCATGAAGCTGCTCTGAATTATATGAGCACTGAAGTTGAAGAGGAAATAATCTTAGTGTGATTTCACATTTAAACTTAATTCACAGAGTGCCAAACATCTCTTCCGCTTTTCTATGCTAGAGACCATTTATGCCTTCAAATCACATCAAGTATACAGATAAATTTTTGCTTACCATAAGGTTTTTCTTCAGTTACTTTTCCTGTAGCATCTAATGTATCAGTAGCTTTGCCCAGTAGCCCAATGGCAGTGTATTTCTGGGAAGGAAAAAGAGAGGAAAAAGAAGGTTGGAGAGTCAGGTCTTCAAGGTTCTTTCTTTTTTCTTTTTTAATAAAGACTGCAACTACCAAGTACTTCAGTAAGGAGAGGAAGAATACTGTTTAAATAGTCAATCCAGTGCCTTTGAGTAAGCAAAAGTAAATATGAAAAGACATAGAACTAAGCAAAAAGTAAATCCTGCATTATATGTGCCTGTGATTTCAGTTTTAGAAACCCCTGGAAGAAGCAACATGGAATCTAATTTTTACTATAAATACATCACTACCATAAAGGAAATAATAGGGTGAGAAAATCAAAGCCTCAGTGCGGTGTGATATACCACTGTTGAAGCAAAGCACATAGAGTACCTTTCACACTATTTTTCTATTCCTTCACTATTTAAACAAAAGGAAGACACAAAGACCTTCACTTGTGAAAGCGAAACACCTCTGTCCAAGGCAAAGTATTACAACAGTTCTGCCATGAAATGCAGCGATATGCAGTAGCCTAAAGGTGGTTTTGAATATCTGGCATCCAGTAAGGACCTTGCTGACCAGCACCAGGAGTGCAATGCCACTGAGTGACAGCTCTGCTCATGGTGGGTTCTCTGAATATTTGTTTCAGGGTTTTTCTCTAAAGAATTCTTAAGTGTGTTTGTGTTTGCAGCTTGCAAGAATTAACCTGTTCCCATGCCAGTAGCTCTTGTCCTTACTGCATTTCACCTCATCTCCTTTCCCACATTTTCACTCTAAGTACTGCCAGTCTGTATGCATACGCAGAATCTGCTGAAGCTGACAGAAGGCTTTCCATGAACTACATGCTTTCACAAGGCCTCCAACACGTGAAGACTCACTTTGTAACATGAGTTTGGATCAAGTTTGGAGATACTTACAAGTATTAAAATCTGTGGTCTGACCCACTGTCTCTGCCATTCCATTCCATTTGCATCAACCCTATGTTAAGTCCACGGGCTTTGAAAGTAAAGCGTTTACATAGTCTGGGAGAGAAAACTCAAGGTGTTCCACACGCCTAATTCCCAGTGAGATTTCAGTGAACCTACTCCTAACTAAGCTAACACAAATTTGAATCAAGTTGTAAAAGGATGCATCTTTTAGAAGTGGGTTCACTAAATTCTACTGAACACATCCAAACATGCATAAGCAGTAACATTTTACTCTTTGATGCAATGCATCCTTTTTCATGTACTTGTGAAGTACAAACAAGCTCAAGTAATAATACTCTAGGCATAAAAATCACACACACAAAGTTGGACTATTAAGACATGCCTCGATTTTGTTCCATGTGACAACCTGCCACTTCAATGTATTTCTTCAAGCAACTGCCACTAAATGGAAGCAGCAGGAATAGTCAGACTAAAGGCAATCTGACTTTTAATGTAAAAATAAATGTATTATTTGCTTATGTGCTGGTTTTGGCTGGGGTAGAGTTCATTTTCTCCATAGTAGCTGGTATGGGGCTGTGCTTTGGATCTGTGCTAAAAGAGTGTTCATAACACAGAGGTGTTTTCATGCTGAGCAGCACTTACACAGAGCCAAGGCCTTTTCTTGCTCCTCACTCCACCAGCAAGAAGGCTGGAGGGGCACAAGGTGCTGGGAGGGGACACAGCCAGGACAGCTGATCCCAACTGACCCAAGGGATATCCCACATGCTCCACATGTGATACTGGGGGAAGAAAGGAGTGACGCTGGGAATGATGGTATTTGTCTTCCCAAGTAACCATTCCATGTGATGGACCCCTGCTGTCCTGGAGATGACTGAACACCTGCAAGCCCATGGGAAGTGGTGACTGAATTCCTTGTTTTGCTTTACCTATTAAACTCCCTTTATCCAAACCCATGAGTTTTACCTTTTTTCTTGCAAGTGTCTCCCCTGTCCCACTTGGGAGCAGTGAGTGAATAGCTGTGTGGTGTTTTGCTGCCTTCAGGGTTAAATCATACCACCACATGAAGGCTATTCTTCTCCCCCACACTGCAGATGTCTGACTCCCCTGGTAACTCTGCAAAATTAGGCGTTTTAAAAGTAAAACCCTTGAAGTTCACATCCTTTTGGAAGGTATGGAAAAGAAGTGAAAGGCAGAATGGATGAAGGCTGCTCAGCAACAAATATTTAAATAAATGTTCAAGTACATTACTATCTGCTTTAGGACCATAAAATTGCCTGCTTTGCGAGACATTTAATGATCTAGTTCTTAACATTCAACAGCATAGCTAGAAACACTAGTCAGCAACTATTCTAGAGGTTAATAAAGCCATGTGAGATCTTTATAATTCTGGCATGATGAATCATCTTAGCAGTTCAGTAAAACTCTAAATCTGAAAGTTTGAAACCTCACACACCATCTTCAGATGTTTCCAAATGTTACTACTTCAGTTTGTAGGACTTTCTTCCTCTTAATGCTGGTTTTGGCTATCTTGCTTCAGACTGGCTGTTACAATAACATGTTATTTGACCTACCAGCCACAGAGAGATAGTATCATCTGTTTATATGTAAATACAAACTGTATGAACACTGTAATCCAAATCTAAACACTTGACTTCCCCTTTGATTCCTGCAAAAAAGGCAAAAAGCCATTCAATATGTAAAAAAAAAAAAAAAAAAGTCCCTTAAAATTAGTCACAAATCCCCATTCCTTAAAGGAGCCATTAAAGAGTCACGAAAGTCTCAAGCCAGCAATGCAATAGTGCACAAAGAAGGCTATAACAGGTCAGGAAATTACGAATTACAGCTGGTTTATGATCAGTATCTGGACTGCCCTTGGGTATCTACAATTATATATCATAATTCTTACTAGTCACTTAATAGGGTTTATTTCCCCTTTGGTAGCGTGCAGGACCTGGAGCTTGTAGAAGATAAAATGAGAGTCCAGATCTTGATCTAATGTTCCTCTTATTTTGTGTCAAAATTGAGCATTGTCTCTTTAGACTCTAACTCACACTGCCCTCAGAAGTACCCAATAGATTCTGAGTCATTTAATAAGTCTTTGGTGACCTTTTCCCACCTACGCTGGCGAACATTTATTTCTTCCAGTTTTATAAAATACATCTAGGGGCATTCCTCCTGTGCTCTTAAATTACAAATCACTGCAGGAACACAGACAGGAACTGCTCACAACCACGCTGCCTTCAACCCCCTCAACCTGAAACAGAAAAAGCAAGGTAGGAGCTATTGCAGGCAGTGGAAAAGCAAGTGCAGACTATGACAGGAAATGTTGCTGTATCGGTGGCTCATCAGAGAAAACTACCAATCAATAGCTCCTACGCCCTGCCCACTGCTTACCTCAAGAGACTGGGACCCAAACAATTTAAAGATGAAAAGCAGCATCTCAGCTTCCCTATAGGATTCCACAACGTGCAAGTGTAGTGTATTAAGAGCCATGATCAAGCATTCCCAGTCACAACTTGCAAGCACAGCAGCATCATATATTATTTTATTCTAATGGTGGGCTGCATGGTCCCAAAACAGAGCCTCAACTGCACAACAGTATGACAACCTTGAGGGCATACAGACCTTCCCAAAACTATCCTGCATTAGGGAATGGGAATTAGGGAGTCCAAGGCCAGGTTGGACAGAGCCTTGGCTGGCATGGTTTAGTGGGAGGTGTCCCTGCCCATCGCAGGGGGGTTGGAACTTGATGATCTTAAGGTCCTTTCCTAACCCTAACTATTCTATGATTCTGTAATGGCTATAGCTCTCATTTTCTTGACATTACAGCAACTGAAATAAAAGGCAGCAAAGTGATTAAAAATCCTTAAGTATAAGCAACTCCTTCATTCACACTAGTGATGAGACAGCCTTAAGACGACACTTTACAGTGACAAACCAATGCACTCTGTCAGTGCTAATGCGAAAACTCTGTCACACAAACTGGGGGATGTGATGGATGCAAACCTTCAACAAGACCAGAAAGACAGTGAAGTGCTTTGGCAGTCATGTATCTGCTGCCATACCCATGACTAGAAAGAAATACGCCATGAGAGCCAGGACTGGAGAAAAAACAGGCTTACAGGAACCCATAAGAAACAAATTACAAACCAACTCTCTAATAAATCTGAAATCTTGGAAAGAGGAATTTTGTTTTAGAGTCACAATCACAGGACACAGACAAAATTCTCACAAATAATAAACCATATGATGTTTAAAATAATGTTTTACTAACAGAATAGCTATCATTTGGCTTTTTCATTTCACATCCAATTTCAGATAAATTGCTATACTAATGCAGAAAGGGAAAACATCGATAAAAATAAGTGAGACTTTATCAGCATACATTTTTAACTGTGAAAGAAGGAAGAGGAGGAGAAGGAAGAAGAATCCTCTCCCAGTAGAGGGGCTGTATAGCCAGCATAGCTATTAACTGCACAACCCACCAGGGGGGTTACTGGAGGCTGAAGCCCCTGGGCTGACTGCCAGGTATGTCTGCCCCACTTATCAGTGCAAATGCCAGACAGACCATGGAATGGAGCCTCTCAGTTTTAACTGTTAATATATCAAAGCTTTCTTTGGAACGAAGCCAGAGACTTGAAATCTGAAATTGTAACATGTTTTAAATGCTTTTTCAAACATGGAGAAGCAACACTTTGGAAGAGCTAGACAGAAACACAAGCAATTATGAAACAAGGTCACTGGTAGCTGTCAGGAAGATTTTAAGATGGCTCCCACTGCAAGAATTTACCAGGCAAGCTCCCTGGAAGAGGCAGCTCAGAACAGTTCATCCAAGGATGACCCATTTTCTAATCACAGCAGCAACTGAACACAGAGTGTTTGCCGATGACACCAAGCTGTGTGCTTCGGTTGATACACTGGAGGGAAGGGATGCCATGCAGAAGGACCTTGACATGCTTGACAGGTGGGCCCGTGCCAGCCTTATGAAGTTCAACCAAGCCAAGAACAAGGTCCTACACCTGGGTAGGGGCAATCCTAGGCACAGCTACAGGTTGGGCAGAGAAGAGATTCAGAGCAGCCCAAGGAGAAGGACTT